AAAGCCAGCCCAGGCAGGAAAGCTCATGAGGCTCTTACCTCTAATGAACCACCAAAAAAAAAGCCATAAACGAAGGTATGGCTGTGGTGACCACCAGCCTAAGGGACAGGGACAGTGCCCAGGCCCTGAGTTCAAGCCCCAGTACTAGCATGAAAAGGAAGGGAGGGAGGAAGGGAAAGAAAGAAAAAAAAACAAGCAAGCAAGCAAGCATGCATGCATCATAGACCATCTCCACTAAGAGTCCCTCCATACTAGCACTCACATTTCTTCTGATTGCTAGGACTACAAAAGAAACAGCAGGTAGACACTCAAAATAATGCCCTATTAATGTTTCCCTTACTGAAGCAAGTTCCCCATTGGCAGAACCCTTCTCAAATATATCTCTTCATCCTTCCCTGGGGCCCCTAACACTGACTCAGCTAAGGGAGGGGTGCAACAATACCAGTGAATCAACAAACTATACCTGTAACATATGATATGGAACTGCAAGGAATGAACCATCAGCAACCTGCATCTGTCCCAACAGCCAACTTCTGAGTACCCTGGGAATGCCTGCATCAGCCACTCCAGTCAGGTAGGCTCTGTGTGGACACCCCTAACCAAGGTTAACAAGAGGCGAACGGCGGGTGGTCTCCCGGGCAGTTTGCTACTGATGGCTCACAATGGACACAGAAGCTTATAAGGGAGTTAATTTTGAAGATCTTTTCCCTGTGTTCCCCAGGTGAGAGTAGCCTGACAAAGTCCTAGGAAGAAGGTTGGGGATAAATGAGACCCTAAGTTCAAATCCCATGACTACACACACATACATACACACACACACACACACACAAGTGTGATGGGTCGCATCTATAACCCTAGCTATTCAGGAGATTGAACTCTGACAATTAAGGTTGGAAGCCAGCCCAGGTAGGGAAGTCTGTAAGACTTTTATCCAACTAATCAGCCAAAAGCTGGAAGTAGAGGTACAGCTCAAGTGGTAGAGGACCAGCCTTGAGGGAAAAAGCCAAGGAACAATCAGATCAAGCCCCTGTGTGTGCACATGCACACAAACACACACACACAGGCACGCACATGCACACACACACACACATATGCGGGCACACACACGTGCATGTCCCAGGAGAAGGCCATACTAAAAAATGAGGTACACAAAGAGGAAGAGCATATTTGTGTCAGACCTTGTACCTGGTTCAGGTCTCCCATTTTTCCCTCTGGATTCCAGAAAAAAAAAAGCCCAAATTCTCTTTCCAACAAAGCTGTAAGTCTGGCTTCGAACAAGTAGGCTCCCCTGAACCTATGGCCTCATGCAGGCATCCTAGTTAAGAACTGACCTACATCTCCAACCTGTCTTGTTTCTGTATTTGTTTTTGTGACAAGATCTCACTGCTCCGTTCATGCTGGCCATCTTCAAACTTGCCATCTTCTCATCTCTACCTCCCAAGTAGCTGAGGTGGCAGGCATGCGCCACCATTCCCAACTTCAACTTCACTCTTAGGCTTGATCTCCCCTCAGGTACTCAAGCAGGTGAGCAATGTAGGATGGCTGCTGGTATCAAAGACTAACCTCTCTGTGGTGTAAGTCAAACTCAAATCACGTGGGTGACATCTCTTCAACACCAGTAAAACCTGTTATCACTCCAGCTCTCCCGATCACTGAAACAAGCTAGAGATGAGGGCACAAAGAAGCCAGACTGCTTTGGGCAAGACCCTGGTACGTGACTCTGGTGGCCAAATGCTGCCACTTGCTGATGAAGATCATGAACCAAAGGACTCTTGTTAAACCTCCTCGGGCTAAAGGCTCCTCAAAGTCCAAATCTCCAAGAATAGTCTGAACCCCAGCCTCCCTTGCCCCCAGTGGGCTGGCTAAGTTAAGTTACATGTTGCCCTATGTCTCCGGAGGCAAAGGCTCTCAAAGGCAGCAGGAACCAGCAGACAGTGTGACAAGCAACACCGCAGCCTACAAGGCTGAACAGACATGTGGGCATCAATAGCAGGCCACCAGCCACCTCCCCAAAACATGCACCATCTTTACTTTTCTGTCCACAACCAAAACAGCAGCCACTGTTGCCAAGGGAAACAAGGTGTCCCCCCAAGGCATGGGCACACAATCCAGAGACACACATCTATTTTGTTTAGACCTACCCAAGCTACTGGGTTTGTCTGCTTAGAACTGGAAATGTGGCTAATTGGTAAAGCACTTGCCCAACACAGACAAGGTCCTGGGTTCAATCCTCAGCATGGGAAAACAAAATGATAACATAAAATCTCCACTTCACTGGGTGCTAGTGGCTCACACTTGTAATCCTAGCTACTTAGGAGACTGGAATCTGAGAACAGTGATTCAAAGCCAGCCTGGGCAGAGATGTCCCTGAGATTATCTCCAATTAACCACAAAAAGACAGAATGGAGGTGTGGCTCAGGCAGTAGAGCAACAGCCTCAATGTGAAGCCCTGAGTTGAAGCTCTAATACTGGCCACACACCCCTCCCACACACACACATACATGCACGTGTGCACGCACACGCGCGCACGTGCCGCACACACACACACACACACACAAACACACACCAACTATGCTTTAGCATCAGGACCCTTTTAGGTGGGCAGAATCTGCCCTGTCCTAACTCAAGTCATGAAAAGATCAGGTGACAAGCTAACAGGAACAATCAGAAACATTTCCAGAGTTCACATGCCTCATCAGGCTGATGGAGGGCTAAGGAAGACGAAAAGGAAGACCAAAGCCATGCTTCCCAGGAGGCGAGAATGGACTACAAGAGCAGAGATCCACAGCCCACCCCTGGCGAGGGTACTTAGCACTAACAAAGAACACTCAGAGTGCACAACCCAAATCTGCCCAAGGAGCAGGGGCACACAGGGTCAGAGCCTCGAGTCTCTCTAGTCCCCACACAGCCTGTTCGCCTTTCTCCTCTGAAGAGTTTTCCAGCTGAAACACAAAAGCCCTCTTAGGCCTGCCTTATCTGTTTTTCCGGGGCTGCTTTCCTTCTTTCTTCAAGGACCTCATAAAACCATAGGAAAATGCTTTGTAAACTGTGAGGCACTTTCCCCAGCTGCCTGGATTTTTGTTTTGCTTAGGTTGTTTTTTTTTTTTTTTAATAACTGAAATCACTTTTAGTTTATTTCAGTGCACTACTCCTTGATGCACCTGTGCAGATTGGAAAGACGGTTTACATAAATCACTCCTGAGATGGAGAACCCTGACCCTCACCCACCTACCTCCCCCAAACTACCAAAAGTAAAATGAATTAAGAATCACAGCTGAGACCAAAAGGTCCATTAGAACTTTGCGCTCCTTCCCCTCCCTAAAGTCTACCTACTTTGGCTCAGGACCTCAGATCCCCAGTGTCATCTGGGAATGATCTCCCCTTAGTGACTGAGAGCCACCCAGTTTTGTGTTTGTTTTTAAGCAAACTACTAAATGCAGCAGCGGTACTCACTAGACACTATGTTGAAAATGAACTATACAACTTGTGGGTGGGGATGGGAGGGAAAACTGGGAGCCAGGGAGGGAAGGGGTAACTCTTTACCTGACTTATGTAACAGTAACCCTTCCAGACATCACCTACATAATAACAATTTAAAAATAAAAAAACTACTTTTTAAGTAAGCAATTCCCAGCATGTGTAGCATTTATTTCAGGGAAGGCCAGCAGAGGGTTGAGGTGGCAGATGTTACTTGGTGCCTGCTGACACGGCTGGTGGCCTTGTACAGCTGCTTCAGGCAGGTGGCCTGCAATTGTACATGACAATCCTGGCAGCTCAGATCTTAGGAACCCTTCTACTCATTCCTCTACAGCCTGGGACCCCAAGAATATCATTGTGTCCCCCCCCTCAAAGAAACATGTACTTTCTTAGTTTGGAATCAAGACTTTAAAGGGGGAGGGGGTGAGAAGTAGAATACAGAGGGACAAGTCTGCCTCCACCCCAATTCCCAGCTGGGTACCACCAGAAGGCCCTGAGAGTGGAAAGGAGTCACTGACCCCTTCCATCAGCCATCTGTGAGCTCCCCCGCCCCAACCTTCCTAGCCCAGCCCGATGAGAAGGATAAAGGAGGTCAGGACAGATGGCCCAAGCGCTTTGGGAAGGAGGGCTCTACAGGAATGCAGGGCTCCTGAGAGGCCCCTTTGGGGTGTGTTTTGTTATGGGTTTGGAGCCTCGCTGTGTTCTCTACAGACCGCAATCTTTTAGAATTAAAAAGAAGAAGAAGAGGGCAAAAATCAGTCAAGGGTGGGGGATGGAAAGGAGAAGACCCTACTGTCCACCGCTGGGCCCTCCCGGGGGTAAAGTCAGGGGAGCGCAGTAACTAAGTGCGTGCGCGCGCGCGCAGGGGGGCGGGAGGCTGGCACCACGAGTCTAAAAATACTCGATAAGAAAAAAAAATTAAAAATGCTAATCCCGAAGGCAAAGAAAAGAACGAAGAAGAAGGAATCTGTCAATCACCCAGGCTCCCAGGGCTCCTCACCCACAGCCCCAGCTGTACCGACTGCATTCCTGTAGACAAGGAGAGAACTGGGGAGGTGTTGGGGGGAGGAACCCCCGGGCTGAAGGAAAAGAAAAGGGGGAGACACACACACACACACACACACACACACACACACATACACGGCCATCTCCACGAGCGCGGGCCGCGGGGCGGAGGAGGGGCGCGCGCAGCCGAACAAAGCGGGGCCTCAACTTGGGAGCCCGCAGCTCCGGGGAGAGAGGGAGGAAGAAAGCCGGGGGGGGGGGGAGAACCCATCTCAGCGGCACCCCCACCACCACCCCCTTTCCCGGAGCTGGGGAGGGGGGCAGTGAATGCAAAGACTTAGAAAAGCCAGAGGAGCCGCGTGGAAAGCCGAGGCTCTCGATGTTGGCAAACCCCAGAGGAGGTTTTGTGGAGGGTGGAGTTCCTTGGTCTCCTCCCCGGGCCCGCGCTCTCCGCGGCCCCCTCTGCACACTTGCACACTCACGCACACACGCACACACGTTCTTCCCCCCCCCCCCACCTGGGGATGGTGATGCACTTGGTGTTGACGTTCTGCGTGGTGATGGCCTTCTCCAGCTCGTCCAGCTGCCCGGTCTTCTTGAGCTTCTTCACCAAGCTCTTCACCGCCTTCTCGCACCATTTCTCCTCCTGCCCGTTCTGCTCGCCCTTCTTCCAGCCCAGCAGGCGCTTCACGATCGGCGGGGTGAAGGGCAGGATGGACGACATGGCTGGCCGCGCGGGGCGCCCCCCCTCGGAGGAGGGGAGGAGGGGGGCTGGACGCGGCGGGACGCCCGGAGGGGAGGGCCGGGAGGGGAGGAAGGGGGCGCGCAGAGCGGATCTCGGGGTGGGGGGCCCGCGCCGCCCCCAACTTCTTCTCCACAACTCTTCGGCGAACTTGTCGGAGACGCCCGGCCGGGCCGCGGCGCTGCAACCCTGCGGGGCTGGGCGCGCGGCCCTGCGCCCGAGCGGCTCCCACGCGAGAGAAGGGCGAGCGGCCCGCGGGGCCCGGAGGACCCGGGGTAGGGGGGTGAGAGCCGGCCGGCGGGCGGCAGCGGCGCCGGGGCGGGCGAGGCCCCGAGCGCGGGGTGGAGGCGGTGGCCGCGGCCGCGAGGCTCCGAGTGAGTGGCACAGAAAAGTTTGGGTTTCCGCACGGGGTAAGCTGTTTTGGGTGCCGCCTCCGGGAAGGAAAAGTCCAGCCCCCCCCCCCCCCAACCAACCAAACTTTGCCCGTCTCGATCGCTTTGATGAGCAGCTTCGTCCGGCCTCGGCGACCTCGCCTCCCTCCGGGACCCTTCACCACCTCCTCCTCCACCTCCTCCTCCTCCTCCTCCACCTCCTCCTCCTCCTCCTCGGGTTAGCTCGCCCGCGCGCTCGCTGGGCCGGCCCCGGGGCGTGCGCCGCGCTCCCGCTCCGCTCCCGCCCGCTCCGAAGTCTATGTTTCATGCAAATCCGCGTGCAGCCTCTTTTCCATCGCTGTCACCGCCCCCTCGACGCCGGGGCTGCCCGCTCCTCCCCTGCGCCCCGCCGCCTCCCTCTCCCCTCCCCACTCTCCCCGGGCGCCCGGCCCGCCTCCCGATCCCCGCCCCGCGCCGCGCACGCCCACGTGGGCGACCCGGCCCGGCGGCTGCCCCCGGCTGAAGCGCCCCGCGCGCGCGCGCGCGCGCGCGCACGGCCTGGAGCCGCGGGGCCGGGCCGGCTAGGCGCGGGGAGGAAGTCCTGGGAAAGGGGGGAGCCCCCCCCGGAAGGAGGGCACAGTTTGGGGGCACTCGGAAGACCGTACTTGGGAAGCTCCGTGGGAGTTGTGGGCGGAAGAAGAGGGTTGAAACCCGGAGCGCAGTCGAGCGCACGGCTTGGGACCGTCCGGGCACCCCCCCCCCCCGAAGGGATCTGGGCCAAGACAGGAGGGGGTGCAGGAAGGTTCGAAGCCCAGGAAGTCGGGGCGAGCCGATGCCCTGTCAGGGCCTTGGCTGGAAGCCAAAGACTCAGGAGCTGTTTGTAACTTCTCTTTGGTGAGGTCACCCCGGCCATTGCCCTTGGACGGCGTGCGGAGGAGGGAGTTGGGAAGGGGGAGAAGTAAGCTCTTAAAAGTGAAGACTTGGTGGGGGAGGGACACAGTGACACCCCCCCCCCAACAATAAGCTGGAGCCCTGGGGTCCCTTGGGCCTAGTGAAATCAAACGCCTGGCAGAAAATAGACCTCAGACACATCTGTTGAGTTCGTGAAGGAATGAATGGGGCGCTTTACAATTCTATCTTTTGGAAAAATCTTACATTACGGGTGTTGCCGAATCTCCTGATAGAAAAGGGTCTGGGGGTGGGGGTGGGGCGGACATCGACACCCAACAAGTAGAAGGAACCAGATCTTTTGTTTTCGAAGCGGTGCCTTCGTGAAAGCTTGGAGAAGGAGTGGGGGGGGGGCGAGGGGGGGACTGGGAAGTTTATAACATTCAGAGTTAGCCTGGGTGGAGAGCTGGGAAACACTGGTACTCAGAGAAGCTCTGGTGCTCCCACACCCCGCTAGCAGAATGCGGGGCACCTGCCCACAGGCCCCTCGGTGACTTTGGGGAGTTACTGCAGCCCCTGGCCACTCTCCTTCCCTCCCCATCTGGCTAACTCAGTAGCTGAGGCTTTGTTTGTTTTTAACAGCAGGAAAAACCCCATGGTGAGAAAGAAGTTATCTGCAAACCAAGGGCCGGTGCCGAGTTAACGACCTGTGAGTGGCTGTGAATACACAAAGTGAGCCCCAAGCAGCAGGGGCCTCGCTGGCTCTGCCACTGAACTGAGCTGGGCCTCCCAAGGGCTGTAGCTTCCTGACCTAAAGGCTCTGAAAAGAGAATTCCTGAGCAATTCTTCCAGGTAGACCCTCTTCCTTTCCCTTGCGAGCCATGATTAAGAGAGACAAGAGATGTCTGGTGTTCATACCTGTAATCCTTAGCTACTCAGGAAGCTGAGATCAGATCATGATTGGAAGTCAGCCCAGGCAGGAAAGTCCATGAGACTTTATCTCCAGTTAACCAGAAAAAAAAAAAGCTGGAAGCAGAGCTGTGGCTCAAGTGGTCGAACACCCCCCTTGAGCGAAAAAGCTAAAGGACAGCACCTAGGCTCTGAATTCAAGTCCCAGTAGAAGAGAGACAGACAGACAGACAGGAGGGGGTGAATGGACACTTCTGATTGCTGTCTTCATCCCAAATTTCCTCTGATGCATTCTTCACAGCGGCCCTAAAGGTAAATGTCCTTAGCCCTCAGGTTTACAGATAATGGGACTTCTCAGGCATGCTAGGGGCAGAGCTGGGACTTGAATCAGGGCTTTTGGGTGATCTTGAGGCCTTTGTAGGTCATCTCACCCCTTCCACACAGCTACCTTACAGAGTTCTGAAAAGCTGGATGATCTAAATGAGGGAGCTCTTTGTAAATAAATAAATAAAAGTTCTTTACACAGGTGCACTATTGTGGCATTGCACAAATGTTTGCTCACCTGTGAATTGGAGCTACAGATGGCTTTCCTCGAAGCCTCCTAGGGTGGGTGGTTGGAGGACTATGCAAAGCTTGGAAGATAGCCCAGTGCTGGAAAGAAGTCCAGCCATATGTGGGTCCCTGCCGAGGCCCTGTAGAGGGGTGTGGCCAAGGGAGCTCCACCCACTTGGACAGCCATCTATCTACCAGAACTTCTGTGGTGCAGCCCTCCTCATTTCTGGGAACTCCAAAGTGAAAAGGTAATCATTCCTAACCCTAAGGAGCCCAAATTCAAGGAAAGGGGGCTGGGATGAGCCCCAGAGGGCAGTGAAAGACAGGAAGAGGCCCCCCGCTTCTATGACCTTCCAGTAAAAGGTGAATTTTAACCAGAACATCAAGTCTAATTCTTAAGAGAGAGCCAGATCAAGTGCAAGAGGCTCTGGCTTCATCCCTGATTTTGACTCTGGCTCTTTCTGCCTCCATCTTGCTCTATCTGTTGAAAGATGGAGCAAAATAATGCTTTTTGTTCAGAGTGGCAAATCCAGAAACAGCATTAGAAACTGCCAGAATCCAGTGGCTCACTCCTGTAATTCTAGCTACGTAGGAGCATGAGATTTGAGGATCAAAGTTTGAAACCAGTCTAGGCAGACACAGGAAAGAGACAGTTATTTCCTATTAACCAGCAGTAAGTACATAAATAAATAAATAAATAAATGGAGGTGAGGCTCAAGTAGTAGAATGCTAGCCTTGATCAAAAAAGCAAAAAGAGAGTGCCAGGGGCTGGGAAGGTGGCTCAGTGGTAAAGTGCTTGCCTTGCATGCATGAGGCCCTGGGTTCAATTCCTCAGCACCAAATAGCAGAAAAAGCTGGAAGAGGCACTGTGGCTCAAGTGGTAGAGCACTAGCCTTGAGCTGAAGAGCTGAGGGACAGTACCCAGGCCCAGAGTTCATGCCCCACAACTGGCAAAAAAAAAAAAAAAAAAAAGAGAGTGCCCATGACCTGAGTTCAAGCTCCAGTACAGCACAAAAAGAAGAAGAGGAGGAAGAAGAAAAGAAGGAAGGAAGGAAAGAAAGAAAGAGGCATTATAATTATTCTCCAGTGCAAGACCTTTATCTCACACAGATATAGGTACACAAATGTCTAAAGGAAGGCAATTTATACTTTGGAGGGAGTGGCCAGAAAGAATAGAAAGTTCAGTGGGGTCTGGCCACTTAACCTCTAGCATCATGGCCTTCCTTGGAACAGGCACTTGTTCAACCCTCTCATTTTCTTGAGAGGCCAGGATGACTCGTCAGCCATCTTGTTAGAGTGATTGACCATGCTTTCCTTTTCTCAAACCTTCCCATGCCAGCAAAATCAATGTGGCAGGGACCACATGGGCATGTGGAAATAAAATACTGGACTAATACACAGGTCTAAAAGTGCTGTTTGTGGGTGATATTTCTCCTCTGGGCTCTGTCTCTCCATGAGAAGAGTTGGGGATTTGAAGTGGAGTTGTCATAGTCCAGTCTCCTAGACCCCTGAGGAAGGTTCCCTCACCATTTAGGGTGGTGATTGGGTTGTAGCTTCCAGATACTTACAGCTCCACGCTGGTACCTGGTCTTGTGGGGCCCAGCCAGACCTGTTCTGAGAGATGAGATTTGTCCCTGGTAGGGAAACACTAGCTCAGTTAATTTTTCATCATGGAAGTACAAAGTTCAGGAGAGGTAGGATGGGGCGGAGGAGAGCTCTGTTTCCCTGGGAGTAGGCGGCCCCATCAGGAAGAAAGGAGGAGCCTTAGAGAGTACCTCCCACAAAGACAGGAAAGGGACTGCTGAGAGGGTTTGTTTTTTTTTTTTTTCCACTAGCTAAAAATCAACATGGGATAACTGGAGAAAAGGCACTGGAATTGTTCTGTCTTCATTTCACACAGCCAGAACACCGATGTATCCTGTCAGGAAAAGTGGCTAAGTCAAAACTATAACTCTCATGAAAGACTCTGGCCTGAGAGATGGCCTCTCTCTACATGAAGGCCAAGATCCCTGTCAAGAGCCATTTGTAGCACTGCATGTAGCTACATAGGTAGACTGGGCTTAAACATGGAGCTCGTCACTTCCAGGTGAGTCACTGGGAGAATAATCCTTAGCTCTCTATGGGTCAGTTTTCTCAACCATCAAATGAAAATGACAATAAGCCTGCTTCTTAGAATTGCTGGGTGAGTTCAAATTATGTAACATATGCAGAGAGCTTCCCAGTGGGGGATAGTAAGTTCTCAAATACAGGAATGTTGGAAGTGGAGCTGTGGCTCCAAGTGGTATAGCATTAGTGCCCAGGCCCTGA